GGCGCCTGGGGCTTTGGTGTGGCAAAGCCGGGCGGGCGCGGGACTCCGCGGTCGCTGTGGCTTTGCTCCCGGTGCCCCTGGTCTGCTGGAGATGGTCCCCAGCAGACCAGGGGCACCGGGAGCAGCTTTTCTCGCTCCGGAGGTCGAGGTGGCGGACCACTGCCTGCGAGCTCTGGGGCGAGAAAGCCCCATTCGTAAGTGCGGATCCGACATAAGTCGGATCCGCGTAAGTCGGGGACTGCCTGTAATTGCTTTTGCATTGATTGGTGTTGTTCTAAGTACTTTAGAATGTATAGTATTTAAGATTTAAATTGTATAGTCATTGTCTTTAAGGCTTATAAAACTTAAACAACTGTATTTACTGCTTAAAGCTTGCAATAAATAAGAAAGTGGTTAAGTTTCTCTGGAGTGCTCTGGTTTCCCTCGGATCTAAAATAAATCGAACCACATGAGACACAACCCTTTTTCCTGATACAACCAAACCCTTAGCTTGCCTTAAGTAATGACAAGAGGAAACTGAATACCGAATTGGTGGTCCTGGCTCTTACTGTTTAGGAGGAGTTCTTGAACAAATGGACAGACAGACAGACAAACTCAGTCAAACAGAGATTCCAAGGAAGATAAAATAGTAAGGCCATCAGATCCCATGTTCAGTAACAAAGTGTTCCTGACATTTCAATGATCACTGTAGTGACCTGGACCTTATTTTAGCCTTGCTCTGCTTTGTTGTTGCGGTGGACAATGAACTGAACATCAGGATTCTGCATAAGCAGATGTTCTACCAGAAGCTGCAACAAGGCCTGGAAATCCCAAGATCAGTTTTTCTCATTTTAGGTGTTGTCACAGAAAGGCTAAGGGCATTAACGGGAAGAGCTGGAGTGCCCACCCTGTGCTGTTATTACTCTCCTGCTCCAAGGCACAGCTTCGAGGAGTCAGACTGTGCCGGTGAAATAATAAACACTCTTGTTGCTACCCTCTCTTGGGGTGCATCTACACAGCAGGGCTTAACTTGAAATAAGCTACGTGAACTGAGCTACATCAATTGTGTAGCTTATTTTGAAATAGGGAGGATCTACATTGTACTTATTTCACTTCCTCCAACTTCCCTTACTCCTTGTACAATGAGGGGTACAGGAGTTGGAGTAAGAAGTCCTCCAGCTTGATAGCATTTGGACATTATTCAAAATGATTTTCTGCTGTGTAGATGTGGACTAAGTTATTTTGAAATAATGTTGCTGTGTAGACATACCCTTGATGAGGAGGGACCTTAGGCTATGTCTACACTACAAGGTTATTTCAAAGTAACTTATGTCAAAATAATAACTCCTGAAATAACTATTTTGAAATACTGTAGTGTGTCCACACTAAAGGGAAGTCTCAAAATTAGTCCAAAGCAGGCTCCCTTAATGTGGACATGCCTGAACTTAGAGCCCCAGGAAGCACTAGGGTGTAATTACTTTGACTCTGGGGAGTAGATATTCTGAAATAACAGCAGCTGAGCATACACACTAACACTTTCAAAATTGCAATTTTGAAATAGGTGTTATTCCTTGTAGAACGAAGTGTAATTATTTCACTACAGCAAGCTTGTTATTTTGAAATAATTTCAAAATAATGGGCTTGCTGTGTGGATGCTCACCTTGTTATTTTGAAATAAGGGGAGTTAGTTTGAAATAATGCTGTACTGTAGACATACCCTTAGAGAACAGCAGACTGATGATAACTGTGTATGCAGTAAAGCACTGAAAAACATCTCTGTGCTTTGGGAAAGTTGGAGAGCCACACATGGAAAATGAATAAATAGAGAGGAATGCCTCAGAATACAGAACACTTGAATAGTGATTTTAATAAAGCAAAACTAGGACAACATGAATATTCCTAAAATAATTGTACAGAACAAACACAAGCATTTTAACTAAATACAGAAACTAACATAGAAAAGATTTGGTTCAAAAGCTTAAAATATTCTAGTGCTAGGATTTTTTTTTTTTAAGCAAGGGCTAGATAGCAAAACTGGAGCACAGAGTAGACTGTAACAAATAAAATAGTTTTTTTCCTCTATCTAAAAATCTAAAGCAGAAGGTTTTATAGTAAAAAGGGTGAGCAAATGAAAAGATGTTGTCGATTCTCAGTTCCCCATGGCTATTTGAGGAGTGTTTGCAACTCTTATGTGATATTTTGGTTTACAACTTGTCTTAATTCTAAATGAAAACCTGAGAATGAGCTGTTTCTGTGAGCTCACAAGGGCACTTGGAATAGAACTGCAGTATTTGATTTCTCATTTTCTGTTGTCACTGGGTAAACCTGGCTGGTGTTAAGAAAAGCATTGTGGTGTTATACATTTCAAGATCTACAGAGCATATACAATCTGAGTGGCTTCCAAAGTTTTTTCCCCCTCCTTCATTCAGGCAGACCTCCACAGCAACCAGAATGCTGTTTGAAGCAGCGTGACATCCCTCTTGTGGCCAGGAAACCAGTTCCTCTGACTTTTCAGCACAAGGGTGGAGCACTATGAGCTCTTTTGCGGATTATGACGCGAGTTTGAAGCCATGCTTTATAATCCTCTTCTGGCATCTGAACAATATTTTCACGCACAAACTGAAAAATAAAGGGACACTTTCCTTAGCTCTTTAGGTTATATATGAGAGATACTGATACAATCTAACAATTGGATAATCACCATAGAACCTGCAAAGTGGTAGCATCTTGACCTCCTTTATATCGATATGATAAAAATGAGAAGGGAAATAGGCCTTTTCATGTGAGTTTCTTCAAGAGTGCATGTCAATTAAAATTAATTTTAAAATTAAAGTCCCTATGATTGTCAGTATTATTTGGACACTAAAACCTGCAGAGCTAAGCTTTTTTTAATTGAGAAGTTTTTATTGTACCCAGAATTGTGCTCATTAAATTGGCTTAGTCTGGAGCACATCTGAACTCTTCTGACAATCCCAGGCAGCTGACACTGAATGGGGCTTTCTAGTCCCAGAAATGTTCCTAAATATCTAAAAATATTAATTGTGTAACCGATCAAAATTCTATTGGTCATACTGTTAACCACGGGGCTTGGCTGCAGGCTCCATGGCCCTGTGGGGCTGCTGGCTCCCAGTCTATGACATGGTGCAGTGGGCCTGGCTGTGCTGGTCCCCCATGTATGGTGCGGTGCAGTAGGCTAAGTAGGGCGCCACAGGCAGGGGGCTGCTCCGGCCAGACCAGGTGCGACAGTTACCTAGTTAGTAGTAAGCATCATCCAGTAAAAGTGATGTTTACCAGGTAAGCAATTAACCAGTTACATCCCTAATTCCTACTGCCTTTATCAGATCCAGCCAAAAGGAACACCAGAACCCTGCTCTGTGGATGCTTGTGGAGAAAGTAGAAGTGGCATGGCATCCTTTAGAGAGGGGAGGAAGAGGGACTTTAGCCTCCGCTGAATTTTGTATCAAGGGTCACTTATCCTAATGCCAGGCATAGCTCTTAACTGCAACACAGTCTGAGTGTGATCTGTGATGACTTCAGAAACAGGGAGCAGCACTGCCTTTTCCAAGTTTTTTTATAAGCAGAGGCAGGGTGATTAAGATAACAAAAGGTTTGTCATTAGATGATCCTGAAAACATTGTCAGGCACTCCAGTTAAAAGATATGAAACAAAGAGTAGTAATAACTGGTGAGAATGGAGAGAAGTAATTAGTGTACTGTACTAGAACCAGTGCTGTTCAACACATTCATAAATTATCTGGAAAAAAGGGTAAACAGTGAGTTGGCAAAATTTGCAGTTGATTCAAAATTTATTCAAGATAGTTAAGTCCAAATCTGACCACAAAGAGTTACAAAAGGATCTTATAAAACTGGGTGACTGGGTAACATGATGGCAGATGAAAATCAATGTTGATGAATGCAACATAATGCACGTGGCAAAATATAATCCCAAATATACATTCAAAATGATGAGATCTAAATTAGCTGAAGCCATCAAAGAGTTCTTGGTGTCATTGTGAATAGCTGTTTGAAAATATCTGCTCCAGAGTGGCAAGGACTCAGAGAGATAATATCGTATTGCTTCTGTAAATCCTTGGTACACCCACGTATTGAATACTGCATGCAAATGTGGTCATCCCATCTCAAAAAACATATTGGATTTTGAAAAGGTAGAGATAAAGGCAACAAAAATTATTAGGAGTACTGAACACATTCCATATGAGGAGCAATTAAAAAGACTGAGGCTTTCCAGTTTGGAAAAGATATGAACAAGGGGGAGATGCTCAATTAAATCAATAGGCAACAGATTTAAAACAAACAAAAGATAGTATTTCTCCATAGTCATCCTGCGGAACTCTTTTCCAGAGAATGTTTGTGAAGGGCAAGATTATAACAGGGCTTAAAAAAGAATATGTTCATAGAGAACAGGTCTGTCAATGGCTATTAGCCAAGATGGGCAGGGATCCAATACCATGGCCTTGTCTACACTACCACGGGTAGTTGACCTAAGTTACACAGCTTCAGCTACCTGAATAATGTAGTTGCAGTTGGTATACATATGTCTGCTTAATACAGTATCTTCACCATGGTAAGTTGACAGCTGATACTCTATTGCCTCTTACTCTTCTGAGACTGGTGGAGTACCAGAATTGATGGAAGAGCACTTAGCAGTCGATGTAGCATGTCTATACTAGATGTGATAAATTTACCCTTCTTTATACTTCTTTTTCTGTTATAAATTCTGGGTGCCTGTTTTTTCCACTCCAGCTCATCTGAAGAAGTGGATTTTGCCCATAAAAGCTCATGATAGTATATATTTGTTAGTCTCTAAGGTGCCACAGGATTACTTGTGGTTTTTATTATTATTAGATAATCTTTCTATTAAGCCATCACAGTTCTTGTCTGTCTGTCACAGGATTTTCAACTTGTCCCTCCTGTGCACGTGCCAATGCGGCTGCCCCCGCCAGCTCCTGCAGGCATACTCTGCGTGAGCTCTGCAGCCTGGATCCCATTGTGGCCGATGCAGCAGATTGCCCCTGCCAGCTCCAGCTCCACCTGGATTTGTGCCGTCAGCTCCAGCTCCCAGCC